AAAGAAAGAAAGAAAGAAAAACCTCCAAATTAATTTTTTCTTTCATTGTTATTACATGAATCAACCATACCTTCCTCTTCTTCTGTGTGTTCTTTTTTCACATGTTTCTTCCTGACAACGAATTTCTCCAGTGGCCAGACAATGACCAATACAATCAGGGAGGAGAAAGCAAAGCAGCGGAACATCACCACTCCGCCATAGGCGTGGTACAGCTGGCCAGCGACCAGGGAGCCAATGCCAAGTCCTAGTGTTATCAAATACAAAAGTATATTAATTTGACTAAAAAAAAAGGTTAACTGCATATTTGTGAAGTCTTAATGAAATCCATTAAAAAGTTTTGATCAGTAAGGACCTACTAAAAAGTTGGGCAAAAAAGGTGTAGAACAACAGAATGAAAGAATGTCATAGCATGGAGTTCACTCAGTGCATGTCAGTAGCTGTATATGTAGTAATCCCTTCTGCAAATTTGCATTCACTGCCAGTGAATATGCGATGATCTACATGAGAATTTCTGCTCGTCATTTTATTTATATTTTTTGAGATAGATGAAATAAGCCATTCGGTCAAGTGTGTGTGTGTGTGTGTGTGTGTGTGTGGTCATACACCCACTTTTGCATGTGCAAAAAAAAGTACTTGCTTTCCTACATGAGTGTCTGAATAAATTAGGAACTGTGCATATGGTAAAATGGTGAATTTTACTGATACTGTATTTTTTAGGTTATAATTTCAAAAAATCAAAAATAAAATTCTATTGATTGGTAGCAACAAAATTGAAAATCAGGTTACTCTACAGTTCCATTCTGTGCAGTAAAAGTACCACAAATGTTGTATAGAAATATAATTTTGTAATTATAAAATTACACATCTGAAAGTTTCACAATTTTTGCCTATTGAAAAGATCAAGTCGTATCTGTGTGCTAGACATACCCATGCCCCAGTGTATTCCTGCCATCAGACCCTGCAGAGTCGCCGACATCCCTGGGGGGGCTATGATATCCGTGTACTCTGTGGCGGCAGAGAACAGGAGGCCGTACGTGATCCCATGCAGTGGCTCTATCAACAGAACGAGCCAGGGCTCTTTCAGAAATGAGTAGGCTCCGAATCGTAGAGCATACGCAAGAAGAGTGACATGCAAGCATGGTATATGACCCACTTTTTTTATGATGAATCCAGCGAAATATAACATTGGGGTCTCCGCGACACATTCCACCAACAGCGTGAGCCCCATCAGAAGCTTGGGACTGCACAATTCTCCCAGGTACCAAAATAGAAAGGACATTAGAACTCCAGCATATATCCCCAAGATTAACATGACAAAGAGAAATAAGCAAATCTCAGTGTCTTTAAATAAAAGTGAGAGATTCTTCATCATCTGAGAGCAGTGTACATCCTCAGCTATGTGCATGAATTTTGAAGAGATTGCAGCCAACAAAAGCATGCCCCCATGCAAGTAAAATGCAGGAGAAAAATCAGGCTGAGATTCGCTTTCACTAAAAGAGTCCATAAAAAGCCCTGAGATGACAGCAAATGTGGCAAAACCAATCGTTCCAAACATTCTTGTACGCCCCCATTTGCTACCTTCATCACCCAAAATACCGTAAGTGATAGCATCATTGATACTTAGACAAGGCATGTAAAATGTCTGCCCAATAAAAAACAGCACCAAGAACAGACCGAAAGTTAAATCATGGCTGCTTATCTTACTGTCATTTATGACTTCATTCTGAGAATAATTTTTGTTGCAATACTGAATCTGACATTTCATGTTCAATTCATTTTGTACTTTAAATACATCAAAGTAAGTATTGTTTGCCCTAAATGATTCGATTGAATACTGTGGGCAATCTTTCCAAGGTAAAACAGAGATTTTGTCACTGGTAGAATTCAAGAAAATCAGCTCCAAAGAGACATCTTCCACATTCACTAAATTCGAGTCAAACAGTTCCAGGCAATAGTTAGCAGTACTGTTACAAAATTGGAGGCTGGTCTCAGAACCATCGTTCATTAGTGTGTCAAGTACTGTGCATGTCAAATTACACAGCCGAGTAGCCTTCAATGTATTTTCTTTCAGAACACTTTCTTCACATTTACCATGCAGATCAAGATCTTCCACATTCATCCCATACAACTGGCATTTGCTGACAGTCGCTGAACTGCTATTTGCATGGAAAAATACATGAACTGGTACCAACTCGGGTTCCACGTGAGGAACAAAAAGACACGTGACATGGAACGTTCCAGCAAATAGAGCACAAACGATCAGCACTATTTTATGTTTATTGAACTTGTCAGCTATTACTCCCCATATGGGCCTGATGAGAAAGCCCAGAAAAGGCATGACCCCATAGATTATGGCGGATTCTGACGCTGTTAGTCCTATGTGCTTCATGTACACTGTCAAGTACGGCAGGAGCGATGCAACACCTGGTGATATAAAAAGAAATGGTCAGGTTTGGTCATGACATTTTGCCATACATCAATACGTTACAATGTGAATTTAATGTTCTTTAAATCAATGAGGTTCAATATTAGTTTAAAATTCTTTTTTATTTACTGTTTTGACTTTCAAAGTAGTGCAAATGTAAAGTCTTATTCCACAGAGGCTGTTTGAATTCTACTGGTAATTACAATATGGCAGTGTGGTAAACATGCACTGTTGTAGCTCTCACCTGCCATGAACAGAAAGTAGAATGCCTTGCATGGCAAAAGTTGCTTGTTGATCACTGGAGAGCAGGTGCAGGATGCCTTTTTCTTCATCATTAGAGATTCTTATATGACAATAACTGACCTCAGGTGACGAGATTCACATAAGAGATTCTGGACTGTTATATGATGATTACAGGATGGAGATGAGATTCATATTGTACAGGACCTGCAGATGTAAAATAAATAAACTGATCATTAACAGAACACAGACTTTTTTAATCCACCAGTCATAAAAAGAATTGCTATTGATTCTCATAATAAGCACTGATGTTCATTCTCATATTATACAACAAGTGAATAGTCCATCAAGCCTAGCTATAGACAGCTGCAACTACATGCTGCACCACAACATTTGACTGATGCTTAAAAATGAATAAAATCTCAGCAAAATTTAATGGTACAACATTTAAAAAAATTCTGATTATTTTTTTCAGTGTTCAATAAATACTGGTTTGTGACAAAAAATCAAACTTCAATTTCAAACAGTCTTTAATACTTAATATACAATACTGGAAATTATTTTTTCTTCCCACATATTCTGACAGAGTACAGAACAAAATTGAATAAAGAAATTGCTAAATAAATTATGAAGTGCTGACTGTTACATGCATTGAATCTTATACATTATGTAAAAATATGAATGGATTGGTCAAGTAGTCTGTATTGGTCTTTGACAAAAAAGTACCAAATATGCCAGGAAAATACTGACTTTGAATGGAGGATTCAGTGACTGTTTTAAATATCTTAAAAATTACATTTTACAAAATCAAAGTGCAGTCTCCTGGTAAATATTATAACGTGATGAAAACAAGTCTGGTTTGAACTAGTAAGTGGAATTTTACACGATTGGTCATACTTGCCCAAAATTTTAAATATAATTTCCTTTGCTTAAAAGAAAACAAAACAACCACTATTTGTTTTTTTCTTCAGTGACTAAAAAACGAAGAATTGCAACACATTATTCCGTTGTAATTTCCTAGCCAGATAAGCTGCCATTGCAGTTGAAAGTTGAACATATATCTACTTAAATCAGGAAAGCTGTTTAAACCTTGTATTATCCATAGACACTGTTGCATAAAATTGATATTTATACAATAGTGTTACAGTATCATATTTACAATATCCAATATGTCTGTAATAATATAAAGTGCACCAGTCAAATTGTTCAAAATATTCACCATAATCACATAGTCATTCTTGAGGTCAGTAGTCACATTAATAATATCTTTCCTGTTTGTTAACAGTTTCCCCTTCACTACATGTGCCTGCATACCATCACCGCAGGATACAGTTGGCATCAATCCATGTGTAAAGGCCGATGTGTAAATAAGGAGTCACTTTGTTTAATACCTCTATTATACCACTCAAGCCAATGGTTATCTACTGGTATTTGTTATTGTAGTATATGCCATAAGTAGGATTTAAGGGGTGGTACTTGTGTTGCACCTGCAGAACTAATATGAACCTATATGGGTCGGCACCTGCTGTATCAAACAGCAATATTTAACATCATCTCTAAGACTCAAGTGCCCAGTACATATGATTTAATGTACAACACATGAAGAAGTACTTACACATGTGCCCAAAATTAACATTACTGAGCTACAGAATCACCATAGCTGAATTATTCAAGCTGTTACAAAAGTGGGCCCCACACACTTACTGATACTTTTAACTGACAAATAATAATAAATAAATAAGTTGAATAAAATAAAATTTCGTCACTTTTATTGATTTATTTCAATTCATCTAGATAGCAGTGTCAAAAATAGGAAAGTAATGTCAAGCAGATACACTCTCAACATCAATTAATGAATAATCTTTTTCTGCTTAAATATAATCTCTGTATATAAAAGAATAATATATAATTCGCATTCATAAATCTGTGGATTTATTTTGCCTTTTACATCTTACAAAACTATAGGAATTAAATGGTTTTACATCAAACATTTAAGTAGAAACCAACTACGATCTCGTGCGAATCCACAAAAGGATCAAATGAGGTGATAGCAAAGAGACACTTACATTGTGGAAATCTATTTCCCAGGTGTAACCAAAGACATTGCTGTACGTGCTGGGCTGAAAGGTAGGTGCTGGGATGCATACCTCCTATCCTAAAAGGCTACTGTTTCAGCACTGCAGTCTGTGCATGCTGTCGTGTAATCATAAATCAGAAACGTTAAAAGCCATGTGTTGATGATTTTCTCCACGTAGAGTTCCTGTAATTATCTTCGTGTCTTGTCCCTCGATCATCTGTGCTCGTTTGACAAAATCGATCTCTATTTACTGAAGAGTCGCAAAACCACTTTGCTACGAACCTGAGTAGTGTTTTTAAATTAATTTTATTTTATTAGGATTCCCCATAGGGGAATACTATTGTTTTTTGTCTTATGATTATTATTATAGTTATTATATTCTTTCCGCGCGTTTTTTTTCGCAAAAAATCTGAAATAATTATCATAGGTAGCCTAACTATGGCAAGAATATGCCACAGACCCAGTTTCAGTGACCTTGACCCACTTTTCAAGGTCAGAAGGGCTTTTAAAGGCAAAATTTGTAAAATTTGAAATTGACATAAGGCCTTAAGTATAAGCCGTATGGCTATGGGCCTTATGGTCAGTGATACAGAGGTGAATCCACATATAATGACCTACTTTTATGCAAGTAGGTCAAGGTCAAGGTCGCTAATGGCCAAACGGGTTTAAAAAAGGTTTGTTTCCGAGATCTCAGAAACCGGAAAGCCCAGAGCCCCAATCATAGTGGCAAATGATGCCCTATATATTTATCTAAGGTTAGCTTTACTTTGGTAGCAACTGCTTAATTACTTTTTTTAATATAGATTTTTAAATATTTATGACATTGCAGAAATCTTGAGATTGGCAGTTTCTCCATGAAACACTGGTTTTTGGTCATAGCATGCTATAGTAAACTACCCCAAACATATACCAAAACCCCCAAATCAAATGTCAAATTCGACCTTGACCCTCATTTTCAAGGTCATTTGGCTATTTCATGGAGAAATATTGAAGTGGGCTAAAAGTGATGTTTTGTTGA